GGACTTACAAGCTTTCTATGGTGATGTTTCTGACTATTCCTTTCTCTCCCCCTCCGGTAGTCCGTGGCACTTTTAATATGCTTCTCCAATACCGTTTTCTCAATGCATCAACTCTTCTATGGTCTTACTTATTCACTGTCCAACTTCACATACATAAGAGGCTATTGAAAATACCATGACTTAGGTCAGACGCACCTAAGCCTTTAAAATTGACATCTTGGTCCTTGAACAATTTAACCAGGTTTTGTGCAGCAGATTTGCATAATGCAGTATGTTGTTTGATTTCTTGACTGCTGATTTGATGAGCACTGATAGTGGATCCAAACAAAATAAAGTCTTTGATAACTTCAATCTTTTCTCCATTTATATGGATGTTGTCTATTGGTCCAGTGGTGATTATTTTTGTTTTCTTTACACTGAAGTGAAACTCATACTAATGGCTGTGGGTTTTGATCTTATTCAGTAAGTATTTTACATGCTCTTTTCTTTCCGCAAGCAAGGTTATTTACATATAACCCAGCTTCTCAGGTTATCTGCTCATGATATAGATTGAGTAAGTATGGTATAAGAGCACAATGCTGGCACACATCTTTCCTGATTTCAAACCTATCAGTATCCCGTTGTCCTGTTCGAATGACGGCCTCTTGGTCTACGTACAGGTTCCTTATGAGCACAATTAAGTGTTCTGGAATACCCATTTTATGCAATGTTATTCATAGCCTGTCATGATCCACATAGTCAAAAGTCTTTACATAGTTGATATGGGACAAGTAAACATCTTTCTAGTATTCTCTGCTTTCATCCAAGACCCATTTGATGTCAGAAAAGATATCCCTAGTTTCACATCGTCTTCTGAATCTGGCTTGAATTTTTGGCAGTTCCCTGTCAAAGGACTGTTGCAATTGTTTTTGCATGATCTTCAGCAAAATTTTACTTGCATATGATGTTAATGATACTGTTCAATAAATTTCCACATTCCATTGGGTTATCGCTCTTTCAAATGGGCACTTATATGATCTCTTCCAATTGATTGGCCAAGTAGTTGCCTCTAAGTTTCTTGGCATAGGTTTAAGAGAGCACCTTCAGTGCTGCATCAGATT